GTTTCAGTGGGTGCGCCCATACTGGCAAGGTTTCTGCATCGACTGCTTGCTATCCGCTAGCCCATACAAGAATTTTGCCATCCATACCACGGTTGAATTGGAAGGGTTGACTGTTCAGCGTCGCCATGGGGAACTCTGCAGCTTCTCTCTTGAGTCAGCCCCATGCTTGCTGTTGTGGTTCAACACTCTTGCATCTTGGGACATTACGTCAGTAGTAGAGTTGTAGCGGAGTCATACGAGCTGTGTATGAGTAAAAGATGCGACTACTACAGCGACAGTGAAGCCATCAGCAAGACCCAAGGCAGCAACATCCAGTTCCACGGCATGGCATGCAATCTTCCGAACCAGGCCATGCTCGGATGATTTGGAAAACTTACTTCCCGTACCGGCAGGTTTCTCCTTGTAAGATGTTAGATGCAGCAGAGGGCCTCCTACCTACTCGCTTTTGGGTAACAGCACGTCACCGAGCCGGGTCAGGTGCATCTAGAGGGTAACTACAGCACTCAGCTGGAAAGGCATTGTTGAGGTTGACTGTCAAGAAAGAAGTGTCGGTGGTGGGGAGGATGGCATTCAAATCATGTGGCTGCATGCGGAAGAAGTTTTCAATGTCTCAGCACCATACACCAGGGGGCCCGAGGGAAGCTTCACTACATTTGTCCTGCCCTATTTCCGTAGAGAGGTGGCGCCTTTCGCGATATCTTTGCATGTGGATCAGCAGCACTTTGAGGCTTTCGCAGCGAGCATACCTACTGCTTGCATGGCTGTTTAGGAAGCACTGGGGATCCTTGTAAATGACGCCCTTGCGCCTCAAAGAGTTCGTGGAGCCGAACTTTAGTCCTGAAGTCTTGACGGCAGAGCCAGTAGCCTTCATTTGTCGCGTACCATCTGCCGGCAGTCCTAGAGTCCGAGCAATTCCGAGCATAAAAAACGTGTCGGTGGGTGCACCTTGGCCATGACATCTCCTTAACAACATTTGGAGCTCTAGCAGGCAACTCGCGGCCTTGTGAAGTGCAGGGTGTCGGTTTTTGGCTTGGGCTGCAGTTGATTAAGGCACTTGTTGAAATTGTCACAGCCCTTGCAAGAATCAGCATTTACATGAATCCAGCAGCCTTCATTCCGACCCCATTCATTTCCTGGAGGCACATCAGGCAGTAAGCCAGCCCAAGGCCCCACAACATGCCTGAGGTTTCCAAAAAATGATGGTGCTGGCTGTAGTAGCAACAGTAACAGCACCAGGGGGAGCAGCAGTCCCGCTACTTGTAGATACTTGTAGCAGCAAGAAGCAGCCGCCCAAAATGCACGACTTTGGCCCAAAGCCGCAGGCGTCCTTGCAAGTGCCAGACGAGGCAATCCTTTCTTGAGCCCTCACGGGCAAGACGGTTTTGGATGTGTGCTTGGGGGGCTTGCATGGCGTGGAATTTGTGCAGGGTTCGCAACTTCTTTCAAGTCAAGAGGCTTGTTGGGCAACTTTCTGGCAAGTAAGAGGTCGCGAAAAGCATTCCATCATTGTCTCACCGCTCACAGGCACAGGTTTGGCATTGATCTAATGCCGCACACAGACACGGCCTGAAGCGCAGGCTATAGTGACTTAAGGAGCTGTGTGCAGTCGGTTGGCATGGACCAAGCGATAGCCAGACTAGACCCCACAAACGAAGAGAAGTTACGAGAAGGCTCCAAGTATGTTGGAGGTAGAGGGTGGCCCCAAGTGCAATAGACGGCCACATGATCGGCTTCCGTTAGTAAGATAAGAGGGTTGCCCCCCTCCCCCCCGGACATGACAAATGCCAAAGCAAAAGCACCTGAGTTAGACCAACGGATGCCATCTAACCTTTGAGTGACGGAGCTCTGTATACTCCATGTCTTAACTTCTACGGGAACATGCAGCAAAAGGGCTGGCACCTACAGAGGTGCTTGTGGGTGGCGCCGCCGCTGCCACGGGGGCTGGTGTTGCTGCGCTGGCACAGGCATGGCTTCGACAAAGGGCTGCAGGACTATCCATGCTCAGAAGTCTTACTAGGCTCTGCGTAGAGGTTTGTCATTTGTTCTCCTATCGTGACTTGACGTCTCCTGTGATTGCTGCCATCGTGGCTTTGGCTTTACTTTGATTTGTGCAGAAGGCCCAGTCGGGAACTCTCAGCACCAATTGGGTTACGGCCAGATCTCGCATTTCCAAAGCCAGCAACTGGTAGGCCAAGGTACCTTACAGTAGGCGCTGCATTTGCAATGGTGAGAGTTCTGGTCGCCCAGCCTTGCAAGTTGACGGCTTGTGCTTAGACTCTGCAGACTCCAAATTCGTTGGTGCTCACCAATGCTCACCTTTTGCCTGTCAACCGCTTTTGGGCAAGACGAGCTTTTGTGCTACTAGTCTGTAAACACTGCAAACCTTGTTAGGATAGAGGTGTATGATGCAACAAACTTAGACCCCTCAGCCTGATGTCCAGGCGGGGACATTGGCAGCCACGACCAATGGCATTGTGCAATTTGGCTTGCCCTGCATTTAGCATCGTTTAGTTTTGGCCGGGATGCGGATGGACTCTATGGCAAATCTTTGGCCGATTCTTGGTATATGATGGAGGGTGCGGCACCACCGCGAGCACCACAACTGAGCCTGTTGGACTTCCAGTTCGGGGTTTAAAGATGGACTTCTAGTTTCACCCACTTCGTTCGTTGGTAATTGTGTATCGTGAAGGTAGCAACCGCAAGTGTCAGGCTTCGTGCTCAAAATTCGTGCCACGCAATGCTGTTCCCTTACCGTCGAACGAGCACCGTATGCCTAAGACGAGCAAACGAGCTCATGAGAGCGCTCTTGTGCTCCTGGTTACATGTTTCGTGGCTTTGCCTGCAGAAGCTGCTAAGTCTGCCGCCATTTTCGGTTCGTGGTCGTGACAGTAGAATTGCTGGCAGCATAGGCTGTTTTACTTGGCTGTCCTACAAGACTAGCAGACATCACCGCAAGCTGGCCAGGTCACTGTGCCTTCATGTGCTTATTAACTCCCCATGTTCACCTGAAAAATCTGGTTGTCCCACTAATTGCATACGCAGGGCTTCCGCATAGACAGGTATGCCGTGACAGGGGGGGCAGCCGCGCTGTCAATTGGGGCCGGCTTTGCTGTGGTTGCTGGGCCGCACTGCAGCGGTAATCACAGGTCATAATAGGAATCATGGACATGCAAGGAACAAGTTGGAGGAGCCTAAAATACTTCTCAGCGGTTTCTTGCATTTCTGGTGTTGATCAGGGGCACCAGCCAAGAAGGTGTTTCAGTTATTTGGCGTGACGAAGGCTGCAAGGACACAATGTCTCCTGGCGTTTAATTTGCAAGATGAAAAGAGGTACAACATGGTACAACGGCGGACTGTCGACTTGAGCGATTTGCTTTCGAAAGCAAGTTCACACGTAAGTTTACAGTGAGGGTGACTTTCACTGGCTGCTGTAAGGGTAAGATCAATGGGGGGCCATACACCAAATACTCCAAGTCTTCGACGTAGCAAATTCCAAGCTTGAAATTAACTAATCCCGCACGGCCAAAAACATGCTAACATTTTTTTCCGTTTGACAGCCGCGACAACGTCTGGTTCAGGTGGCCTCGGTCGGCGCAGTGGCTGGCCTTGCCGTTGGCCTGCCCTTGGCCGTGTGTGTGGCAGGTTCTCCGCGCATGCAGATGCGGGAAGGGATTCAGAGGGTACAAGTACAGGACAACTTGGCAATATGTTGATCTAGTCATCCTCGATAACGCGCAGCCGTGCTTCCTTGTAAGCATGCTTTCAGTTTTCCCCAGCCGCTGCTTCAGCTGCATCCATTAAACTTGCTGATTCAGCGGCTGCAGCAGCAGAGGGCCACCAATGAGAGTGGTAATTAGGGAAGAAAGAGGGGTGGTAGCAGGAGCAGTGGGAGAGGCGGAAGGAATCCTTATCGTCATGAAAAGCTCAGCTTCCGGCCTTCTTCGCGAGGTCGCGGTCGTGGAGCACCGCAAGAGAAGGCCAGCTAAGTTTCTCTTTCTGCGGGCTGAAGGGCCCCAGCGGAAGGGTTCTTCGAGGAACCCAGAAGGTCTTGGAACCTGGCAGTGCCACAGAGTCATGCTCAATCATCTTAACGACTCCAGTACTGCTGGCTACAGCTCGATTGGTCGTGGGTGGATCCATGACAGGGCCAGTGTGCGGAGGGCTGCTTGGGGGCTTTCGCACTGAGCTGCTGATTTGTGGCATTTCTCATGAGAGTACAACAGCGGACATCAGTCGACACGGTCTGTCGGATTTTCTGAAGAAATCCAAGCGAGCATTCGTTAGTTATAGATGAACACAGCCCAAGACCGAGGCCCCATGTAGTCGCAACAAGAGAAATTCCAACAAAGCCGCAAGGAAGCAGATATGATCAGCATATGCCTCTAGAACCCTACAAATTAAGGCTCGTTGGTGACTCGCAGGCAGGGGGTCGCAGCGCTTTCGCACATGACCAGGTAGAGCTGCCAGCAACATTCGTGTTGGAGGACTGCCGGAAAGTTGCCGCGTGAAGTCTCAGGGTGAAACACTGCCCTTGCAGGGCAAGGGCTTGGGGACATACGTGGCAGGGTCACATTTGGAAACATGAAAGTCAGTTGTTCAGCTGTCGTGCGGTGGCCGAGTAAAGGTTGAAATGAAAATTATTGGCATAGCATAACAGTCAGCAGTGATTGCTTTTTTCTCCTTGTGGCAAGCCTAGCCCGAATATTGAGGGTGCTGTGCTGGGGACACATGCGGCCTCATGTGAGCCGTGATACAGCTAAGAGAGTTGTGCGGGTCCGGGTGCGTAGCCAGGAGCAGCTTTTCTTTTCAGCGGCTGCAAATCCTTGAATTTCAACTTGGCCAGAGAATAGGGACCATATGAGGAATGAGCATTGGTATGCGAAAATGGTAGTAGCAGCTTCGGTCATTCTCGCCTCTCCGAAACTATGGCGTTCCGCTCTATAACATTTTTGTTTTGAGGACGGTCTTCGTAAGAAGTCGGCCAAAAGCATGCGTGCGAGGACGGTGGCGGCGCGTTGACTCCTGGCAGTGAGGCAGCCAATGCTTGGGACGGTGACTCTCTGGCAGAGTGACTGCGGTAGTGGTTTCAGAAGTTTGCAAGAGCTTAGGCCTGGGCCTTGAAGTCTGGAAGGCATGTTTGTCACCTTCTTTTGTAAACCTGTCAAACCTTCATTCTTGACACCGTTTGATGCCTACTCCCGCCGCCACTACATTCTTGAAGCCTATAAGGAACCTGGAGATTCGTAAGCGATGCATGCTCTGACAGTGTTGCATGTTCAGACTCAGGCTAGTAAAGGCAACTTAGGATTGTATAGCCTACAAGAGACAAAAAGTTAAAGGGCTGGACAACGACAACATCCAGGCGCGCTTGTTGGAAACGGAGTGGAGGTAGGAGCTTTGCTATTGGGTTTGAAGGTTCTCGACTGCCCGCTTGCTAGCCCTGGGCATAGGTTGCACAATGGCAAAGGGCTTCAGTGGAGACGAGACAGAAAGCAGGAGCAGCAGCACGATGAGTAGTAAGAGTACTGTAGGAGTACGAATAGGGGTAGCAGTAGGGTAGGGGTAGAAGTGGGGTAGGACCAGAACTAGGAGGAGAAGTAATTAAACGCACAGCAAAGAAACAGAAGAAGAAGTAGAACACAGTCTGATGGCCACTGGATGCTGAGGTGACCCTGACACGTTCTACGATGCCTTAGCAGCCTCCGGGAGCCTCTGTCGGGTTAAAAGTTACGCCCTCTGATCTGGTCCCGACATCGATGATCAAGTCAGTTTTGATTTTTGTTGAGATGGCATGGTAGTGTATGTCACCCTTGTCCGGATTTCCAGTCTGTTTTCCCAAGCTTGGAGAGAAGTCCCTTTTTGCGTAACTGTGCTAGTTTGTCAACTTTGGCGCAACTGTGGGGCGCCAGCAAGCCCTGCTCAGAGATTTGTGATCACAAATTTTTGAGCTCCTTGAGAATAAGCTGTTCTGACCATTCGCGCCAGGGTAGGCAAGCTTGCAAAAGTTTGTGGTCCGGGCTCAGGCTAACTTCAGCGTTCTGCATACAGACCTGCAACGGGAACACCTATTTGAGATTCAACTAGCTGGAAAGAGGCCAGCCTCACCAAACTCCAGTTGCAGGCACTGAGGGTACGGTGACAAGTCAGCAGAATAATTATGCAGTGAGAGTAGTGAAGGGCTTCTCCAAAAGTTGTCCCAACTTCGAGAGGGAGTCACCAACAACCCACACGAAGTCTTCTACTTATTTTTTTCTGAGACTGTCAAAGGAGCTTCACAGCTGCAGAACTCCAGCAGAGCCACCACCTGGGCGCCATTCACTTTGTAGCGAGGAAAGGCAGGCTGTGGGATGGGGGTTTGGCGGGCTTTCTTGCTGTATGTTGTGTACGGTATATCCCTCATACTCTGCTTGCGATTTCTTTTGCAGTGCTGAATCCTGAAGCATGTGGAGCGACAGAGAGCCAAGGCATGATCGCATTATTGCCTGGCATGCTCGGGCGCACGTCTGGATGCCTGTGAATGCTTGCGTGAGGTTTCACTCGCAGCATGGTGGGCGGTAAGTTCGAAGCAGCCACGTGGCGGAATGTATCCCAGCATCTGAACAAGCGAAATAACCTGGGAGCCGGCGCAATCGGTCCGGACTTTCTGCAGCATGCACTCTGTTCTAAAGTCAGTTTTTCTGACATGAGGCTAACTGCCTCTCCGGTCCCTGGGAGCTACTTCACACCGTCATCTCTGAGCCTTTGGACAACCCTGTTGTCAACAAGGTTGAAGCCGCAAAGCTGCACTTGTTTGATGTTTTTGCACACTCGCTGCAAAAGAGATTTCGCAGCTTCTCGTGTAGCTGCTCCCTAGTGCAGGTTGTCATAGAGGTGGTTCACCCGATGGCGCAAAACCTTGCATGTCATTTGCCCACAAGGTTCAGACTGAGCAGGCCTTCCGCTTCGTGCGTAGTGGCCTCAGAAATGATGTGTAGTGATCCGCTGGAGTGGATTGCGCAGCTGAGGCTACGTGAGTCCTGAGGGTGGGCATTGCACAATTGCATCGATTCGAGTTTATGCCGCTTGAGGCCACCTCGGCATAGCGTCAGCTTGGCAAACGTTTACACGATGTAGTGTTTCGAGTTGGCGCAGGCAATACCTGCAACAACGCTGTACAGGGGCAGGTAGGCTGGTTTCACCCGGACAGACTAAATGTCAGCGCTCCCAATGACATGCTGAACGTTGCGTTAATATTTGCTGCAATATTGCCACGGGGTCCGGGGAATAATAATGCTTGATACGAAATGGGAGCGGGTCAATATCAAAGGTTTATAATAAGGCTGGGGCTCGCACACGCGACATACTCCATTACAAGGGGAATGTAGCAGGTGCGCGCCTGGCGCGACAAACCCTTCAATGCCATGACTTTTCGAAGTTTTTTATAGCCGCGCGATAACATACGAAAAGGGGTATGCAAGAAGTCCCGTATTTCAAGGGTATTCATCATCAAATCTGAGGCTCCTGGCCAAAATTTCTAAATGCCAATGGCCGAGGTAGACTGTTGATTTATGATATTTTAGGTGTTCCGGTCGGGCATTGCTTGTTGCTCTATTTAACTCCGGATATTAATGTTGGCCAGTGATCGAAGACGAAATAATAAGAAAATATTATAATCTGAAATATAAAATTTTTCCGAGGGTATAATAGCATGAACTTCGAGAACATGGGATGGAGATTCAAGCGGTCGATTTAGGGATTAGAGATGAATCGTATGGACTTAAACTCTAAAAAGATGGTTTTTTTTTTCAAGATTAGAATGCAAGCGTTATTGCTTAAGCAAGAAATTTTGCGAGGTGAAACTAGCTACAATTAAGAATAAATTAAGGAAGTAGTATGAATTTCTAAAAGAGGTGATATGGACTCAAATGGCCTATTTAGAGGATAGAAATAAATCGTATGAGTTCAAGTTCTAAAGAAGGGGGGATTAGGGCCAGAATTTAAGTGCTAGAATCTTAATATGAAATGAGTAAAGTACCCAAATGAGACATCTTGGAAGGCGGCGTTAAGCATAGTCAATTAATAGATCAAGAAATGATTCGCTAATTATATGAATATATTCTCTTCGAACCATATTTTTATAGTTGACAGCTATAGGCAAGATGAATATAGGAATCTAATAATAATTTCAGCATATCTTCAAATTAAATTCATATTATCCGCGCAGACCAATAGGCGCCGCATTTCAATTCATTACCAAAAGATGCTTCTTTGAGAACACGACTATATCTTTCATTAAGATTAATTTCAGAGAGCGCGCATTCTCTAATATCTTTCTCGGCATTAGAGAAGCGCTTCTGGAAATATATCTAGGATGCATTGAAATGCCCTTCGATCTTCAATGAAAAGATGATTTCCTAATTGCGTATTAGTAGCGCATTATTTACGTATTCGTAGGACCGCGTTATTCATATATTCGGATATATTCGGAAATAAGATCGTTTATATTGAGGTCGCTGCTGAAATCTACGAATATTTATAGTTCGGCGTAGATTGGGGGAATGAATGAAGAGAATAATCTACTAAAGAATTATAAAGAAGATTTTCGGATGCTCTTGTTGCCCCATCTATTGAATTTCCGAGATCTATTGGCATAAGGAGAAGGATTGAAGAATTGAAAAAGAGAAATTTATGGAGATTTGAAATGGAATTCCTACGAAGATGCCTCAATAAAAATATAGAAAAGATAGAGAATTATAATAGAAGGTTATGACGATATAATTGATCGAAAAGATTTTTGGTCTCATAGATTGATTTATGAGCTTTGATATCGAATAAGATAATAAATATTTGGATGATATAATCCGCTTGAATATAATTCATCGGATATTTTATAGCATATATATTATATTGATAATCCCCGTGATTGATATCTTAATTATTATATATTCAGAATGAAATTCTTAATCTCAGAGCTAGAATTATCTCATTTTATATCGGATAAAGATAATGACCCCAATCTTATAGGGAAATTATATTTGATCAATATATATATATTATAAAAATAATTAATATAAATATAGTAATATTGACGTGAATTCGGCGGGCGAACGTTTTTAATACGATATTCGAATATTATATAGAAAATGAAATACAGGTTATAAATTCGATATGATGATATATATTTCTAAATATTCTCAGGGATCTTTCTAAATTTATCTTCTGATATGATGAAAATTGGATATCGATAATATATCTTTATCAAAAATAATGAGAATCGTATAGAAAAGATATTGGAAGATATATATATTCTTCTATCTCAAAAATCGAAATTCGTAATTTCGTAATTTGCCTCAGAAATTTAAAATCTATCTTATCAAAATCTTATTCTCAAGATTTCTATTTCAAATTTCTGGATATATAAGTCTTATATTATGGAGGATTTAGATTATTGGTCAAGAATTTCGAGAATGATTTCTATCTTAATGATGAATTGGGGATTCGTTCATATAAATAATCTAATTTTTGGAAAATTAATATCATGAGAGATGATTTTTCGAAAATTTGAAAATGAATTGATAATATTTGGGATTATCTGAATATATTTATATTTCTTTTTCTTGGAGTTATCTTATCGTAATCATATATAATACGTATGGATTGATTTTCATTCGATTAACTTATAATTTCGAAAATATTCCGGGTCTAATATCGATGAATTTCGTTGAACATGAATAAACGAAGGATTATTTTCTTGAATTATGTCTTATGGAATTTTCAAAATATAGATCTAATTCATTAAAATGGAATTCTGAATTTCTTGATGAAAATTTAGATCTCGGAATTTTGATTTCGAAATTTAGAAAATTATGAAAATCTGATTTCTTATGAATTTATTCCAAAAAATGAATATCTTATTCAATATTTGAAGAAGGTTTTGATATAATTAGATGATATTTCATATTGTCGTCGAGGAAGCTTATATTAGATGAATTAGATAATGATAATTCTATATATCAATAAACGATCCGATTGTGTATTATCAGGTCCAATCATTGAATCTATTGAGTTGATCTTTTGAAATTTTAATATTTCTCGATTATATTTATAATCGTCGATTGGCAAGAATGATATCTCTTCAATCAATATTATAATCGACGAGTTTGATTATCTAGAAGGATCTATCAATATTTCATCTTAGTTCTCCTATTCATTTTTTCAATTCTTTGATATTTTGATATTGTCGTCATTTATTGATCGGAAATGCAAAAGATCTTTGGGAGATCATTTTCTCGTCGTCAATGTAGGATATGAATCCATCATCGTTGAGAATATTGAGGATCTCAAAAAAAAGAGAATATTCTCTGGAAGAATATCTATATGATTCTCGATGAGCGTTTATATCGTTGAGAATGAGATTCTTTTGATATTGAAATGAAATTCTTGAATTTTGATTTATATGGAGAATTATTTATGGCAATAGAAATCTCTTGTTGATCTGTGTAGTCCTGTTTCTCATTTCTTCAAATAAATGAATAGGTCTTCTCTTTCAATATTTGATGAATCAAGATCAATTAATTAGATCTTCATATAATAATAATCGGTCTATATATGACGGAAGTGACGGAATCGTGAATCTTCTCGATTAATCTCTTGGAATTTTTGGATCTCTATCAAATCGATATTAGAATCAATTTCTCATTTGATTTTCGATCACCTTCTCTTATTTGGAATTGACCTTTCTGCGAGGGGCTCTGCGTTCTTGATCGTGATGGAGAACGACGGATCTTTAATATATGATCTGAGATCTTAGAATCATATTATTTAAATAATTATGAGATTCAATAATTCTTGAATCTAGGAATCTATATAATTTTCTAGAAATCTAGGAGATGAGATTCTGATTGATGGGATCTTTCAATTTTGATTGAATAGGATTAATCCATAATCTTCTCAAAATTATGATATCTAGAAATATCGTATATCATGTATAGAATCGAATCATTTTATTATCATGATAGAAATCTTCTCATTTGAAAATCGAATTCGTAATCGTCTATTTCTGATATTTCTTGATCAATCGTTATGAGAATATAATTAGATAATCTCTATTGATCGATATGATCTATTTAGATATCAATATTAGGATCTGGAGAATCTGATAATATCTTGAATTCTAGAAGATAAATCATTTTTTGATATTAAGAGAATTGAATTAAGATAATCAGAAATTGATAGATCCTCTTTATCAAACAAACGATTATATATGATAATAGATATGAAGAGCTTGAGAGATATTTAAGAATCGATATATCTATCATATTCGTAGAATATTCTTATGATTAATCACAAAGATTTT